GTCCTGCTCCTTCAGGTGTTTCTCAGGTAGACCCTCCTCCCTTGACTGCGCCGGTTGAGGTCACTGGTGACTCAGGTCCTACTGAGGGTGGTCCTTCTCGGGGTGCTACTTCTAGGGGTGCTGAGCCTGGGGGTGCGGAGCTTGAGGGTGTGGAGCCTGGTGGTGCTGAGCCTGAGTGTGAGGGGTCTGGGGGTGCTGAGCTTGGCGGTACTGACGCTGGAGGTTCTGGAGCTACTGAGGGTGCTGGAGCTGGAGGTTCTGGAGCTGCTGAGGGTGCTCGCGCTGGAGGTTCTGGAGCCGCTGGAGGTACAGGTGCTGAGGGTACTGACACCGGAGGTTCTGGAGCCGTTGGGGGTGCGGGCGCTGAGGGTTCTGAGTCTGCTGTTGCGCGGTCTCCTTGGAGTAGCCGCCTTCGTCCACGTGTGCCACTCACCTCGCAGCAGCTGCAGGACTGGTACGGTCGCCGTCAGCGTCGCGCTGCTGGAGCTAGGAGTGGTGCTGGACCTTTGTCTACTGGAGGTGCTGGAGTCGCTGGTTCTGGAGGTGCTCGTACTGGAGACACTGAGGCTGGAGACCCTGGGACTGGAGGTGCTGGCTCTGGGGGTGCTGCTGCTGGAGACATTGAGGCTGGAGACCCTGGGACTGGAGGTGCTGGTTCTGGGGGTGCTGCTGCTGGAGACACTGAGGCTGGAGACCCTGGGACTGGAGGTGCTGGTTCTGGGGGTGCTGCTGCTGGAGACACAGAGGTTGGAGACCCTGGGGCTGGAGGTGTCGGCTCTGGGACTGGAGCTTCTGGAGCTGCTGGAGGTACTGGAGCTGCTGGAGGCACTGGAGCTGCTGGAGCTGCCGGTCCTGGTGCAGCTGCGCCGACACGACGGTTCTTCGCTCCGCCGTCTCTGTCGTCTCTGCCGCCGTCTGATTCTGTTCTTCGTCAGGTTCTTACTCTTCCGTCGTCTACTGGTCTTCCGTTACAGCCTGGCTCACCGCTGCCTGCTCCTTCTCCTTACACTGTGCAGACTGGTAGTCCTGCTGAGCGTCGTGAGCCTGCGTCGCGTCCTGTTTCGCCTGTTCGTCCTAGTCGTACCGGTCGTCGTGTTCCTCGTTCGCGTCAGCCGGCTGTCCCCCGTAGTCCGTCGTCCTTCCTCTGCTCCGCAGCCTGTTCCTCTGCCGTCTCCTCCTGCGTCCTCGTTGCCTGACGTTCCGGACCCTGCGTCTGACCGGTTTCGTGCTGAGCACCCTACTGTCACGCGTCTACTAGCCACAGTTGTCACTGACCCGTCGTTTGAGTCTGCTGCTGCGTCTGCTCTTGTCGCTGAGCTTGTTGACTTTGCTGCTGCCTGTCGTCTAGACTTCACTGCCAGTCTTGTTACTGAGTCTGAGTCTGTCTGTCCTCCGTCCGTCGGGGGTGAGTGTGCTTTTAGCACGGACGTCCTTGAGGACAGGCAGGAGGAGTTCCAGTGTCTTGCTGCTGCTTTACCTCATCTTGTGTCCTCGCTACTTGCCCCTGAGGGAGACCCGGATGCACCAGACATCCCGACTCCGCGCTCTTACGCAGAGGCGATAGAGGGTCCCTACTCCTCTCAGTGGCAGGCAGCCATGGACGCAGAGATGGCTTCCTGGAAGTCCACAGGCACCTATGTCGACGAGGTTCCCCCACCTGGGGCGAACATCGTCAGTGGCATGTGGATTTTCAGGGTGAAGCGGCCGCCGGGTTCTCCGCCTGTCTTCAAGGCGCACTACGTGGCTCGAGGCTTCAGTCAGCGAGAGGGAGTTGACTTCTTCCAGACCTTCTCCCCCACCCCGAAGATGACCACTCTTCGGGTGCTGCTGCATGTTGCTGCTCACCGTGACTACGAGCTTCACTCTCTTGACTTCAGCACAGCTTTCTTACAGGGCAGCCTGCACGAGGAGATCTGGCTGCGCCGCCCCCCGGGCTTCACTGGGTCGTTCCCTCCTGGCACCCAGTGGAGCCTCCGGCGGCCGGTCTACGGTCTCCGCCAGGCGCCACGTGAGTGGCACGACACACTGAGGACTACGCTTGCGGCTCTTGGGTTTGCGCCTTCTACTGCTGACCCGTCGCTGTTTCTGCGCACCGACACTTCACTGCCGCCGTTCTACATCCTCGTGTACGTCGACGACTTGGTTTTTGCCACTGCTGACACTGAGGCTCTCGCCCACGTGAAGTCGGAGCTGCAGAAGAGACACACGTGCACAGACTTGGGTGAGCTGCGCAGCTACCTTGGCTTGCAGATCACCCGGGATAGAGCACGCCGCACCATCACCTTGACTCAGTCACACATGGTGCAGCAGGTCCTTCAGCGCTTCGGCTTCACCTGGTCTTCAGCACAGGCCACTCCTCTGGCTACAGGTCACACGCTCTCAGCTCCACCTTCGGACGAGTCCGTAGAGCCGAGTGGTCCTTACCCAGAGCTAGTCGGCTGCCTCATGTACCTGATGACTTGCACTCGACCTGACCTCGCGTACCCTCTTGGTCTTCTGGCTCGTTACGTGGCTCCTGGTCGGCACCGACCTGAGCACATGGCTGCTGCTAAGAGGGTACTGCGCTACTTGTGCAGCACATCAGGCATGGGGCTAGTGCTTGGAGGGACGAGCCCAGTTGTCCTCACTGGGCACTCAGACGCTTCTTGGGTTGACGACCTGGCTACTCAGCGGTCGTCACAGGGTTACACCTTCAGCCTTGGCTCTGGTTCAGTTTCGTGGCGTTCTACACGCTCGTCTTCAGTTCTCAGCTCCAGTTGTGAGGCTGAGATCTACTCCACAGCCATGGCTGCACAGGAGTTACGCTGGCTCACCTACCTGCTGACTGACTTGGGAGAGCAGCCTCGTTCTCCTCCAGTGCTGTACGTCGACAACAAGGCCGCCATTGCCTTGTGTGAGGAGCACAGACTGGAGCACAGAACGAAGCACATTGCTCTGCGTTACTTCCTGGCTCGAGAGTTGCAGCAGCGAGGCCAGCTTCGTCTTCGTCACGTGGCCACTCGGGCCAACACTGCTGATATATTCACCAAGGCACTTCCGTCTGGTGATCATCAGCGCTTTTGTACCCTGTTAGGCCTTGTGCCTACGCTTCCACACTTGCTGTAGTTTCTGCTTGTACTGTGATCTATATATATACTTGCATGCCTGCTCTTGCTCGGTTGTCATCACTGTACTGTTATTGTTGCATATATATCTCTGCATGTGGACTGGCCTTGTGGCCCTTTGCTTGTACTCAGAATGTGTGGTGACGTTGAGATCCACCCTGAGCTTGCTTTGCTTCTCTTGACTGGTCGTTTGACCCCTTGTTCTCCCCCACTTTGCCTATGGGGGTGTGTCAAACATATATGCTGGATATTGTCTAGGCTGTAGTGGGGTAGCCCATATGGGGTACAGCCCAATTAGGGTTTACTACTTGTACTCCTGCATGCTGCTAGTTCATTCATTCCCTCTGCTAGATTCTGACACAAGCTGGCTAGGATTAAATCGCTTCCTAGAGGCGAGTCACCCTCTACTTTACTCAGCGACATTTTCAACTTCAATCGCTCAACGATGGCACCTACGCCGACACTTAACAACGGGAACTCGTCAACCCCCGCTTCCGACTCCGACCGTAACGCCCGCGATTCTGCGGGCGAACGCCGTAACAAGCGTCGGGCAGAAGACGGACCGTCCGCTTCGACTGCAGTGGACGTGCTGCTGGGCGGGCTCGAGGTCAACAAAAACGCCGAAACCCAGCAGCACCCTTCGGTCCCTGTGGCGCCAGTGGCGCCTGTGGCGCCAGTGGCACCTGTGGCGCAAGTGGCGACGGGGGCTGGCGCGGCACACGCGACTGACGCCGAGCACACGCCAGCACCCGCTGCTGGACCGTCGCGTCAGCGCCAGAGGAGGCGGACTGCAGTCTCCTCGTCTGACGCGACCGCCGCCCCTGCGCTGACGCAGGCGTTGACCCCGGACCAGGTCAACGCGCTGCTGTCCCTTCTACAGCAGCAACCCGTCAGCGTTACAGCCGCGGAAACTGCACTACCCGCCGCATCTGCGTCGGCTAAAAAAGAAACTGCAAAAAAGGAAAAAGGCACGCGAGGAGCACGGACGAACCGGCATGATAACGACGCAGCGACCGCCGCTCCCCCTGCTCCAGCGGTCGACAACGACACCGACGACTCTGAAGATGAAGCCGGTGAGGCTCCCGTCAACAATGCTAATTTTATTGGCACGGAACACCTCCCCCCCCTCCCTTCTTCTAACCTTACCTTCTCGGCGGCAACCTTCGTCAACGACTCCGTGCGAGAGCAAGCGGAGCTGCTGGAGGACCTGCGGGCGTACCTGCTGCACGCCGAATACAAGGCGCAGCGCGGCGATCCGGCGGGCGGACTCGAACTCATCTCACACGCTCTCAACCTCATCGCGGGGCGTTTCGAGGTGCTTCAAGTGGAGGACGCCTCCGACTTCCGCACGGCGAAGCGCTTCAAGCTGTACCAGCAGAAGAGCCTGCTGACTTCTCGACCCTTCAAGCAGGCAGTCGCGGACATGGCGGCGATGGACCGTGCGGCAAGCGGATACGCTCGTGTCAACCGCGGCGGAAACAACGGGCCGATGCCGTTCTTACCCAAGCGAGGCCCCCCGCCCACGGCCAATTGCCGTGGGTTCCGAGGCTCATGCTTCCGCTGCGGCCAGCCGGGCCACGTGGCAAGTGCCTGCCCTCGGAACGGGCATGGCGGCCAGGGACCCGCTCCGGTGGTGTAGGAGCGGGCCATGGGACTAGGCGCTTGGGCGCTAGGCACGGTGCACTCTTGAGTGCGAAGACCGTGGGCAACCCTAGGGGTTTGCGATGGCAAGAGGCCAGCCCTAGTAAAGGGTGGGATAGGCTTTGGGCCTAGGAGAGGGAAGGGGAACAACAACCCCTCGGTCCCATATGTTTGGCCACTTGGTGGCATGATGCATGCTAGGAAAGCATTGCTATGTGTGTTGGTTGATTTAATAAAAACTACCTTCCTAAAGGCCTATGGTTTTGGCAAAGAGACTATGAAAATCAAGAGGAGGAAGAGAGAGAGAGAGAGAGAGAGAGAGAGAGAGAGAGAGAGAGAGAGAGAGAGAGAGAGAGAGAGAGAGAGAGAGAGAGAGAGAGAGAGAGAGAGAGAGAGAGAGAGAGAGAGAGAGAGAGAGAGAGAGAGAGAGAGAGAGAGAGAGAGAGAGAGAGAGAGAGAGGAGAGAGAGAAGAGAGAATGAGAGAAAGCACAATGGACAACGGTGTCCATGGCCCTAGGCATCAGCCCCCACGCACTAAGGGCAGGCACAACCGTCCTACCAAGTGGACGACGGGACAAAAAAAAAAAAAAAAAAAAAAAGAGGAAACGAGGAGAAGAAGAGACATGCGTTGACATGCGTTAACACTCCCGACACATTCGTTGACATTTCATTCAATGGTTAATTCTCGTCACACCTTCGATCAATGGTTGCCCGTACATGTACATGCACACGCATGCTTTAACATGGAATACTCAACCCTTATACCACTTGGCCTCACATGTACAGGAGCACGACGGTGCGAGGCGGCATGCTACGACGATCCGTACGAATTTGCCGTTACAGACAGAACTATTACACACATGCGCGGTCGTCTCCGCGCGACATTTGCGTGGTGGAGCTCATGGTGCCCCAGCAGCCTTGTCCTCTCCGTCATCGCCAAGGGTTACTGGTTGCCATGGAGCCACGGCCCACCGCAACATTTCCACGATCGCAATCATGTCGGGGCAAACACGCATGCCACGTTCACACGTACCGCCATCCAAGAACTCATAGAGACGGGAGCGGCAATTCCGATGGCCGCAACGGAGCTTACGTGCATAAGTCCACTCAACGTGGTCGAGCAAAAAGACAAATGCAGGCTCATTCTTGATCTGAGGAAAGTCAATGCCAACTTGATCATCCCCAAGTTCAAGTACGAGGGGCTCAGCCGCGTCGCCGACCTGGCGCGCGTTGGGGACTGGATGTTCTCCATTGACCTCAAATCTGGTTACCACCACATCGACATCCACCCATCGTGCTGGAAGTTCCTTGGCTTTGAATTTGACAAGCGCACATACGCATTCCGTTCACTACCATTCGGCCTCGCGACAGCTCCATTCGTTTTCACGCAGCTCATTAAGCAACTAGCTCGGCGTTGGCGAGAACAAGGCATCCGAGTCGTCCCTTACGTGGACGACATCTTATTTCTCTGCCAGTCGAAAGACGACGCGCAAGCAACTTGCCAGCGGGTGATATTGGATCTTAAAGAGGCAGGCCTTGTGATAAACGCGAAGAAATCACAACTGTCACCATCGCAGCGTCTCAGATTCCTGGGCGTAGAACTTGAGACCGATACCGGCCGATTCTCCATCGGTCCAGACCGACGAGCCTCACTACATGCAACCATCCGGAACCTCCTGAGCGCAAGCAAGGCATGCCGACCAGTCCCGGTCCGCCACGTGGCCAGAATCACTGGCATGCTCGCATCGATGGGTGTCGCACTTGGCGCGACCGCTCGCGCATTCAGCCATGCTATGTTACAAGTGATCAACGACGCACCGTCATGGAAAAGCAGCGTCGTTATCCCCCCATCTGCAGCAGAAGAGCTCCAATTTTGGCTCGAGGAGTTCGACCGTTTCAACGGCGCACCTTTTCACGTCAAGAACAGCTACGACGCGGTAATCCATGTGGATGCCAGCTCTCATGGTTGGGGCGCCACTCTGACCACATTTCCGGGTGGCCTCGAAGAAGCTAGCGCGACCATGTCAGAGCCGCTACGAGGAACGTCTAGCACACGACGGGAGATCGAAGGCGTCCTTTGGGCGCTACAAACGTACGCGAACAAGATCAAGCAAAAACACGTTCTCGTGCGGGTGGACAACCAGGGCGTATTCTTCATCCTTCGCAAAGGCGGCTCTCACAGCCCCGACCTCACAACGGCATGCAAGAGCATCATCCGAACATGCATGGCGCTTGGCACGCGCTTGATCATTGAATGGATTCCGCGCGAGCTCAACACACACGCCGACGAGCTTTCAAAAATGGTCGACCACGACGATTACGCGCTGAAAACGCCGTGGTTCCGGATCTTGGAACGTCGTTGGGGTCCTCACTCCATCGACCTCTTCGCAAACTTCCGCAACACCCAACTGCCGCGATTCTGTTCGAAGATTCCCCACCCGGCAGCCATTGCAGTTGATGCATTCTCGATCGCGTGGACACCTGAAAACAACTTCGCCTTCCCCCCACCTCAACTGATCCCAGCCGTCCTCCATCACGCACAACGCACCCATGCATCACTCACACTGATAGTTCCGCACTGGCCAGGTGCAAGCTGGTGGCCACTCTTGCAACCCTCCCCACGCACTTGGGCACCATACATCCACGCGCACATCCCCCTGACACACGGAAGCCAATGCCTAGACGTAGGGTCCCATTCAACTGCTTTTTCGGGCATGGGACTACCGCACAGCCCAATCACTGCACTGCGAGTGGCATTTGACTAATTCAAAATATCTACACCTTGTGTTCAGATTTGCTCCCAAAGTTACACGACCAACTGATCAACATGCTCGCGCAGTCCCGCGCCGATTCTACGATCCGGACATATGAACCATACTGGGCCAAGTTTCGAGCCTTCTGCACAAAAGTGAACCTTCCATTCCTTCCGGCATCCGACATGACCCTCGCGCTGTACCTGGTACACGCAATCCGACGCAAAGCCACCCTGTCCGTAGTGCAGCTAACGTGCTCGGCGGTCAGCTTCGCTCATCGCATGACTGGGAGCAAATGCCCGACAACCGGACCGTTCACCACCCAAGTCCGTGACTGTGCAAAACGACACTGCCCTCGCCCTACTCGTCTGAAGGAACCCGTCTCGATCCAACAAGTCCGGGACATGGCCGCGAGTTACTTGCAGTCCGACGATCCTGCGCAATTTCAGAAAGGGTTGATCCCCATCCTCATGTACTCCGGATTTCTGCGATACTCTGACCTAGTAGCCATAAAATGGCAAGACATCCAATTCGACGACGAGGTCATGTGGATTCTCATACCACATTCCAAGACCGATCAAGCTGGTCACGGCACTTGGATACCCATTGCAGCAACGGCGGACCCCTGCTGCCCAGTGCGCTGCACCCGACGCTTCATCCGACTCGCTGGCTATGGTCCACGGTCAGAGGGACCATTGATTCGTGTCTTCGGTCACGGTTCAACCAGCGAGGGCCAGGCTAGGCCACCTTCTTACACTACGATCCGGAACTGGTGCAAGGAAGCCTTCGCAAAGGTTGGCCTTGGAGAGCTGCAGCTAGGCACCCATTCTTTCCGAAAAGGTGCAGCCACAGTAGCAGCCAACACGGGAGTGCCAGATAGAGTCTTCAAACGGCTGGGCAGATGGCGAAGCGACACAGCAAAGGAAATGTATGTTACGCCATACGTCGAGCCTCTTATCGAAGCCTCCCGTACCCTCCAAGATTCGACGCATGCGGTGTCATCGGCACAACACACAGAGGCACTCGTACGCAACCGAAGGCCCCCGCTGCCCATGTCTCAGGGAACCCATTTGTAATGAGAACGATGCCAATTGATAAGAAAGAAAGCAAGCTTTCTCAATATTATAATTTTTAAACACACATGTAGTGTTTTTTAAAATTGTGTATTGTGAAAGCGAAGCTGCTTGTACTGCACAATTGGCATCGTCGAAGCGCGCTAAACGCCCTTCTCCAACTACAAAAACCGTGGGTTGGAGCTCATTTCCCTCCACCCACGTTTCTCAATTTTCAAACGGCTCACTCAACATTCCCACCACCCACCCCAGAGTAAACCGCCTTGCTAATGCCACTTGGATAGGGTATATCCTAGCTAGCGTTATTAGTCCGCACTAGCTTGTGTCGAATGATGATACAAATGTTGTAATACGCCATTTGTAATGAGAACGATGCCCCATTTGTAATGAGAACGATGCCAATTGATAAGAAAGAAAGCAAGCTTTCTCAATACAGTTAATAAGGGAATGTACCCCTCAGGGCGTATTCCTACGGCCTCCTATCAAGAAACCTCCTATCAAGAATGCACATTTTGCCTGGTGAAAGTAGCGAGAGATTTTGGGTTTAGGGAATTTTTCAGTGTGAGCTTGATAAGAGGTTTTCTTGATAGGAGGATAGGAATACGCCCTCAGAGTACATGGCTAGTCAGTTGCTATTTAATTCCTTGTACTTCTATCTCTCAATCATCTTGTTCTCTCTCAATTATTATTCAACAAGGTCATCTCAGAGACTTCACTGTCTCCTCTTAGGCTTAACACATCCTATCCTATCCACTGATCCTTTGGTTATATCAGCATGGTATGAGAGCTAGAGTGGATTATAGGATCTGTCAAAGCCCTCGTTCTTCCTAGAACAACCTTTTTTATAAAATCATTCATTATATCCTAAAGTCTGCAACACTATGGCTCCTGAAGGGAAAGCTACTGCAGACTCACCGGGCCCACCACCAGCAACTACTAACGCGCCATCAGCGGTGACCTCCGTCAGCGCCGCTGTCGTTGAGCAGCTAGTCGCGCGCATCAACGCTCTTGAAAGCCATCAGGCTATGAGCATTGATGGCTCAAGCTATGCACGTGGCGTTGCTGGACTCCCTCTCCCTGGAGAAGACCGCCGCGTCAACTCCGAGAGATCCTTCACCTTTGACAATCGTCAAGGGTCAGCTCCTGCACAAGACAACCCACAGCGGTCGCAGTCAGACATCGCTTCAATGCAAACCAAATTTGTATTAACCTCAAAATTGAAGACCTCGATCCCTTTCGACGGAAAGGATTTCTACACGTGGAGTTTCGAATTCGAGCTTCTCGCGACAACCGCTCAGATCTGGATGTACTACGACGGAAGTCTGCCTTTTCCCTCGGAAGGCACCATCCAGGAGAAGCATCAATACTACCACGAGTCTCTTCTCGCGTACACCACTCTCCTTCGCAACCCCTCACCTGAAGAGCAGCTCGGCATTCGACCGTACAAGACGGAGTGGGCTCCGCGCAGGCATCCTGGGAACACCTGCGCAACTCATACATGGCAACAGATCCAGTTACAATGAGTCGCCTGCTCAGTCAACTGACTTCAGTCAAAATGAAGCAAGGGGAGAAAGCGGGACCATATGTCAATCGGTGCCGCAATCTGCGCGATCAAGTCAAGAAGTGCGGCGGCTCCGTTCCCGATGACATGTTCATCTGAATGGTCATCTCTGGACTTGGTCC